CGGCCCCCCCACGAAGTGGGGGTATTGGCTGGTGTCGCAAGAAAACCCTGGCACTGGGGAGAACACTGAGCGTTCGGGTAAAATGATTGTTGTTGTTGTTGTTGTTGTCTGGCTTCCATTTCTAAATAATGCTTATTGTTGACCCCCCCCTGCGGGGCACATGGTGTATTTTCAACTGATGCACCCTTCCCCGGACTCGCACCCTGTTTTTTCATTTGAAGCGGAGGGCCATCAAATTGGGAACCCTGGCCGCCGAGTTACAACAACAACGGCTCCCGCCGGATACTTCCTCATTATTCCAGACATTGCACTCTCGCGCGGGACTTCCTCACACGTTATACAGGAATCGCGCTCTCGCACGGGACTTTCTCTCAATTCTTCATGCTTCGCGCAACCCCACCAGCCCATCCAGCAACGATGCCCAGACGAATTGCCTTGATATGTATGGGAAGTGGGGGAGCATACAGAGGAACAGAGGGCCTGGGAAACCGTCATACCCCTAGAAGAGGAGGATGAAGGAGGAATCGGAAGAGGATGAGGAGGAGGGGGAGGAGGATGAGGATGAGGAGGAAGAGGATGAGGACGACGAGGAGCACGAGGAGGAGGATGGGGAGGGGTAGGAGGTAGGAGGAGGAATAAGAGGATGATGATGATGATGACGATGCTTCTAGTGATCATGATGATGATGATGATGATGATGATGATGATGATGATGATGATGATGATGATGATGATGATGACAGTGATGTTGGTGATGACAACGATGATGATGATGATGATGCTGGTGCTGATGCTAATGATGACGACGATGATGATGCTGATGCTGATGCTGATGCTGATGCTGATGATGACGACGACGACGACGACGACGACGATGATGATGAAGGTGCTGATGCTGATGCTGATGCTGATGATGCTGCTGCTGATGATGATGATGAAGATGATGCTGCTGATGATGATGGTGATGATGCTGCTGCTGCTGATGATAATGATCATGATGATGATGCTGATGCTGATGCTGATGCTGTTGCTGCTGCTGCTGCTGATGCTGCTGATGATGATTATGCTGATGATGATGCTGCTGCTGCTGCTGCTGCTGATGATGATGATGATGATGATGATGATGATGATGATGATGATGATGATGATGATGATGATGATGATGATGATGATGTGGAGGAGGAGGAAGAGGAGGAGGAGGAGGAGGAGGAGGAGGAGGACGAGGCGGAAAAGGGCGAACAGAAGGGCCAGAGGCCTCTTGGGTGCCTCTCGGGGTCTCTTCGGATGTCACTTGGGAGTTTCCTGGAGGCCTCTTGGGGCGTCTTGGGGGCCTCGTGGTGGTCCTGGGGGCCTCTTGGAGCGTCTTGGGTGCCTCGGGGAGCCTGTGGGCCTCTTGGCGGACTCTTGGGGGCCTCTTGGGGCCACCTGGGCGCTTCTTGGGGCCCTTTTGGGGCTCTCGTGGGGCTCTTTTGGTGGCCCTAGGGAGCCTCTTGGGACTGTCGTGGAGGGCGTTGGTGAACAGAGGGGGGATCCTACTGTGTCCCCCTTCTGGGGCCATCAGAATAGCCTGTTGGGACGCTCCTGGGTCTCTCTTGGGGCGATCTTGGACGGTCTTGGGGCCGTATTGGGGGCATCTTGGGCTCCTCTCTTCGTCCATCTTGGGACCACATTGACACTTCAAAAAGCATCGGAAGCGAACAATGAAGAAGGCAACAATCATTGACTTTCCTTAGGTGTTTGAAAGATGTTGGCTCCCTTAGGAGGTCCTGAAGGGTGTCCAAAAGCACCTGGAACTGTCTTGTCGCCCTCTTGGGCCCTCTTGGAGGCATGTTGTTAGCTATCTTGAGCCATGTCGGGCTATCTTCAGCGATCTTGGAGGCCATCTTGGGCTCTATGAGGCCCTCTTATAGCCATCTCAGGCTACCTTGAAGCCCTGCCATCTCGCGAAACCCCTTTTGTCCAGATCCAAGGGAGGGGGTCGGGGGAGGGGTCAAGCTACCCACCCGCCCGCAAGCCGTCTAGCTCACTCCCACCCGCCCTCCCAACATATAAGTAACACCTGAGCCTGAGCATATTCGGCGGTCGTCATTGGATGGGCTAGGAACCAAAGCCGATCCCAGGTGCACGAAGCTTGGGGTAAGGGGAAGAAAAGGGCTTTTGGAAGTGGAAATGAGGACATCGTTAGACCACCTGCGCCCAGAGGGCTGGTGGGATTTAGTTATTCAGACGCCGCGCGGGCTCAGGATCGGTCCGGCCAGGATCAGTGTGGGTGTAGAATCGACGCCCTCGGAGACTTGGCAACCAGACGGCGCAGAAGGTGGGACCATCCGCCTCCCTCTGTAGATGGGAACGTTCGAACGTTTTTACTGAGGTTAAGACTTTTCTGGTGCTGAGATAATTCCAGTGGTTATCGGAATGCTTGGGAGGACTTGGGAGGTCCCTGGCGGCTTTCAAGCCTCGAGCGCTTCTGGAAGCCCTCGGAGATTCTCGGAGCCAATCGGATGGAACGACTTCCCAGACCTCGGGCGGCGTGACTTTGTCACAACATGGATCCCTGGATGTCTCGAAAAATCCCCCGGGGCGGATTTTCCATCTCGAGACGTTTCTTCACTGAGCCGGGGCCCTGTGATGGCCCCCGGAAGGCGAAACTTAGAGACAAACTTTCGTCGTGAGTTTTTGCGCGACGAGGGGAGTTCAAGCGGGGCGGAACGGGGGGCGGCCTTCTAAAAAGGCGGGGGAGCTCCTGAAAATGCAAGGGGCTTCTTAGCAGCTTTCCTGGGATCTCAACAGCCCTCTTCGAGGCACCTGGCGATGCAAAGAAGGCCCCTGCCTTCTGAGAAGTCCCCCCACCCCGCCCTCTTAGACGCCAACCCCGCGTGCCACCACCCCTGCGCGCCGCCGGAAAGAGGTCTGGGTCCACAGCCCCTGGCCTGGTCCGTCCTTGTCGTCGTCCTCCTCCTCCTCCTCCTCCTCCTCCTCCTCCTTCCCCCTCCCCCTCCTCCTCCTCCTCCTCCTCCTCCTCCTCCTCCTACTCTTCCTCTGCCTCCTCCTCCTCCTGCAACCCCCGCAGGCTCGAGCCAAGGCCGTGCCACTGCGGCGGAGCGTGGCCTCTTGGCCTGACCGGGCGCCGGCGCCCAGCGCTGGGGGGCCCGTGCTGTGCCCCGGAGGGCTGCGGGGCTGCCCGGCGAGCGTTTTCCTATACAGTCGGCCTTGATTGGACAGGACACGCGAGAGGACACGAGACCCTTCCGAGGGCCACATCGCCATAGGAGTGTACGAAGGCACGTGTCGCGAGGCACAGGACACAAAGGTACCCTTGAGCTGCTAGGGTCGACCTACTAATCTGGGCCGCCTGTATTCGGCGTTTTGACACTGGGCGGAAGGGGGGGACCAAGGGCTCGACTTCATTACAGTCGGGGCGTTGACCAAAGGAACCCAAACTGAGGAACGAGGCCCGTTTTTTCCATAAATTAAACTTCGATTTCCCATCGATATCATAAGGAAAACCTGAGGCAAACTGTGCAACACTTAAGGAACACGGAGCCCCTCCCCAACGAAAAGGGTTCCTTCTTCAGCGATCCGACTGTAACAGCGCGTTCCGTTTTCGTCATGGTGTTCGTTCACCCTCGTTCTGTCTTCGTTCCACCACGACGAAGTCAGAACGAAAACGGTGTGGGCGTTTTTCTATTCGGCGTTTCGACATTGGGCGGAAGGGGGGGGAGGAGGGGTCTGGCTCCGGACCTCTGCCTAGAGTTACTGTTTGCAACAGTGCGCCCTGTGGGGGGAGGCCCCACCTGCTCGAAACAGGCGCCGAAAAACAGCCAAGATCTACTCCACAGGGGGGGGGAGGGGGGGTGCGAAGGCCCGCGCCGATCGGCAAAATAATAAATACGAAAACGATCGCCTGAGCGCTCGCGAGCATTTTCGCGATCCGCTGCCGTCGGGGCTTTTTCACCTAAGGAACCCTACATGAGGAACGAGGCCCCTTTTTCTCATAAGTTATACTTCGACTTTCCCATGGAAAACCTCAGGAACATCTAAGGCAGACTGTAAAACAATCGAGGAACACCGAGCCCCTCCCCAACAAAAAGGGTTCCTTCTTCAGCGCCCCGACTGCACAGCAGGCACAAGCGATATGAAATCTCGCGTGAGCAGTCTAGGGGCACGGCTGTCGTCGAGCTCCGATGGGGTGCCCCAAGGCTCCTCTGTGGGCCCCCGGGGCGCCATCGGGGCATCGGAAGCTTCCGTGGGAAGCCTGCTAGCATGCGGGTTGCCGATCGTAGGTGATTGCTGTGAATGACACCATCTCTGCGCACAGCTGAAGCGCACACCTGGCCTGGACTGAGGTTACGTGTGGAACGTCTAGGGACCACGCGTTGGAAACACATGGGGAAACCTTGCGCATCTGGCTAGACAGCGGCCGAGTACTGAAAAGACAAACTGCCACACGTGTAACCATTACGTGTGTCATGTGTATGCAGCTTCCTGGTAAGAACCGCGAGCAGTTACATGATACCGTCCCTTCGCACAGCTGCGAGTTATATGGGCTGGAACGTGCACGCGTGACAACTTCCGATGTGCGCGGGGAAACTCACAAGAAGAGCATCCGATCCGCTCGGTCCCCTTCGTGTCGGAAATGCCAGCGCATGCCATACGTGAAACATCTATGCTGACATGTCGCCGCGGAACATCTCGCAGTCATCGGCAACTGCTGGCCCCCATGTGCAGTACGCATATCGCACACGCCACCACCAAAGCAATGATACACGTCGTTCATTTCGAATCGCGCTCATTTCTAATTGTGCTCGTTTCACTAAGTGTTCTTGGCCCCCTAGTGGCCAGGAAGAGGCCCAGGATAGAACACTTAGAAATGAAATGATTTCCTCCCCAGAAAATCAAAGAACTTCGAAAACTTAGAAATGAACAATGATATAGCGTCCCCCCAAATGAGCCATTCACGGAACAAACAACGAGTCAAGCTTCGCCAGCGCCGCGCCCGCTCCCGGGTGGTCTCAGCTTCTGCGAGGCCTTCTGGATAATCCTGTAGGGGCGCACAGACCGCTGAACTTCCCCCTGATCTTGCTCCCAACATATCTATCCTCCTTCACATTCTCATTTTTCGCCTGCACCCATGGCATGCGACCTCACCTTCGGCGCTTGAGCCTTGCCGCTTTCAACCCAAACCCTTCCCCTCCCCTCCTGCTGCTGCGCGCTCTCTTCACGCAAGCTGTGCTGCTCAGGCTTTTGCGACCTGAACTGCACATCACCCTAGCGGCTGACCGCATCAAACTCCGCAACACTTCTCGGATGGGCTAATTGGGACGTTAGTTGAAGCCGCTCGTGCATAGGCCGTCATTTGCTGACCAGTGACATCCGACCATCTCGCTCACTCTCTCTCTCTCTCTCTCGAGTCAATCGCTCTCTCTCTCTCTCTGCCTCTCTCTCTCTCGCTCTCTCTGTGCTCCATCTGTTTACATGTATGTTTGTGTGTGTTTGTCAGAGAATGGGGCCAGGCCGGTCACTCACGGATGCGGATTGTTGTTACGTTGTTGTTGCTTCGTTGTTGCCGTCTTCGCCCGCGACGTATCCCGCGACCCACCATGCGACCGAACATTCGACCAACCCGCGACCCACCCGCGACCACCCGCGTTGCTTTCATGAAAAGTCGGCGCCCGCAGCGGGCTCGCTGTGTAAAGTGTAACAGAAAATGGGCGCCTGCGGCGAGCTCCTTCAGAACTTCGCAGACTGCACTCGCTCTTCTCCGCAGTTGTGGGGGGGCTGTGTACAGGTTTCCTGCCCGCAGCCCCGAGGGAGCCGCCAGGGGTGGGGATACTCCAGGACTCGCGCCCAGATTGCGGGGACGTCTCAGGCGGCTTGCCTGTTTGCATGGGAGGGAGGAGAGAGAATGGAGGAGGGAAGGAGGAGGGAGGGAGGATGCAGGAGGGAGGGATCGGATCGGATCGGAATGCCCAGAAGGGGAAGCGCACAGCACTAAGGCCTGAACAAATCAGGACGACTAGCCAGATCTCCTGGCCTCCTTCTCCCGAACTCTCTGGAGAAGGGCCGCCATGAGGAGGAGGAGGAGGAGGAGGAGGAGGAGGAGGAGGAGGCTGTCGGAACAGTTTCTGAGGCTGTCTCGGGCGGGGCGCTGGGCTTCGGCACTCCCACGGGCGAGCCGCCAGGGATGGGGATGCTCCAGGATTCGCGCCCCGACTGTGGGGACGTCTCGGACGGCTTGCCTGCTTGCTTTCGCAACATCTTCTGCTTTCGGAACCGTGTGTGAGGCTGTCTCAGGCGTGGCGCTGGCTTCAGCGCCCCAAGGGGGAGCCGCCAAAGTGGGGATACTCCAGGATTCGCGCCCCGATTGCGGAGACGTCTCAGGCGGCTTGCCTGTTTGTATTCGCAACATCCTCTGCTTTCGGAACCGTTTGTGAGGATGTCTCAGGCGGGGCGCTGGCTTCAGCGCCCCAAGGGGGAGCCGACAGGGGATACATCACGGGCCCGTTTGCGCCCAGATTGTGGGGATGCTTCCAGCGGTTTGCCTTTTTCGGGCCCCAGGCTCGTCTGCGTTCGGAGCATTGCGGGGATGCCTCAACCAGGGCGCTGGCTCAAGCATCCCAAAAGGCCCAGACTTTGGGGATATCTCTGGCTGTCTGTTTGTTCCGGTGCCAAATACACGTAGCCTGAACTCACACTCACACTCAGACCATTCACACTCCCACTCAGACCATTCAGACCTCTCGCACCCACACTCACACTCAGATGCCACACACACACACACTGACACTCAGGCCACTGACACTCAAATGCACTCGGACCTCTCATGCTCACACCCACATTCTGACTACTCGCATTCACTCTCACTCATGCGCCCAGACTCACTCACACCCAAACCCCTTCACATTCAGACCCATTCACAGTCGGATTCACCTGTTCCCAGATTATGGTACACTGATCTGTTCTTGTTTAGACTCATTCGCACGCAGACACTCGCAGCGGAAATGGTGTGAGCAAGTCAATGCACATATGGGAATCTTCGCGTCGAATAATGATGGTCCGCGCGGTCTCACCAAGGGATGGGCCACAACATGTTGGCCAAAAGGGTGGCCCGTAGTCTCATGGCCCAAAGGGACCCTTGCTCAACAAGGGCCCGGTCCACCGAGCCCGCCACATTGGTTTGAACACAATGAGTCAGCCACAGGGACGCCCCGCTCGATGCCGTGGTGGGCCACAACTTGTCGGTCACACGCCAGGCACTGCAGTCGGTTTGGGGGCTCGAGCGTTGTGCCATGAGGGGGGGGGGGGGGGGGGCGGGGCTCCCACCAACCAATTCGAAACCCTCTGAAGAGTTCCCCATCCCAGCGCGGTCTCGAGGCACGCTTGTGAACCCAATGCCTCGCAATCTCGGACGTTAGCCAGACTCCGTGGCTGGCAGGCAGCTTGGCACCTGTAGCGTTGTGCACGGGGGTGCGAGCCGCTCTATCCGACTGAAGGCAGATCCGTGACACTCAACAGAGAAAGGACTGGAGAGGATCTATATATGATCTACCCAAACGACCACCCTCGGGTGATAAGGTTGGTGAGTGCGGGGAAAAACAAACTGACGACAACTGCCATGGCTGTCATGATGACGATACTGGTGATGCGCCCTCGAATTGGCGACGACGCGTGGTGACGATGATGCGCCGCGATTTGATCCCACTATCGATTCGACTCGATCGATCTCGCCACGGGACGCCGACGGGACACCGACGGGACACCGACGGGACACCAACAGGACATCGACGGGACACCGACGGGACACCGACGGGAAACCGACGGGACACCGACGGATTACCGACGGGGAACCGACGGGACACCGACGTGATACCAGCGGGACACCGACGGGACAGCCACGAGGGGCGGTCCACGGCTCTGAACCGACCCGAGCCACAACGGAGTCACTCCTCTCACCCGCCTGCGCAACTTCGCCGCGCCCGCACGCACGACACGAAACCGAAACCGAAACCGATGTCCCGGTGGGGGGCTCTCAATTCCAGTTCTATCTTGACCACAACGTCCGGTATCCAGGATTATACACATACCCATACGACCACCCTTCGGGTGATAAAGAGGTTGTGTGGGGGGGAAGAGGGGGGGAACTGGGAACCAACATCTGACTCAATCGATCTCACTATTGATCTCCCTCAACGGGACACCACGGGACACCACGGGACACTTGTCGATCTCACCATCGATCTCACTATCGATCTCATGAACGATCTCACTCAACGGGACACAACGGGACACCACGGGCCACCACGGGACACCGCGGGACACCTCTCGATCTCACTATCGGCCCTACTATGGATCTAACCATCGATCTCACTCAACGGGAGACCATAGGTCACCACGGTGCACCACGGGACACCGCGGACATCTCATCGATCTCACTACCGATCTCACTATCGATCTCACTCAACGGGACACCACGGGACACCACGGGACACCTGTCGATCTCATTCTCGATCTCACTTTCTGACAGACCACAGGACACCACGGGGCACCACATCGATCTCAGTATCGATCTCAGTATCGATCTCACTCAACGGGACACCACGGGACACCTGTCGATCTCACTATCGATCTTACTTTTTGGAACACCACGGGACATCACATCGATGCAATATCGATCTCAATCTCGATCTCACTATCGATCCCACTCAACGGGACACCACGGGACACCACGGGACACCACAGGACATTACAACGCCGGACGGACGGACGGGGGGGCAACATTTGTCTTGACTTCGCCCTAGCAGCGGCAAATTCATTCCTGGACACCACGGTGCACCACGGGATACCGCGGGCCACCGCCGGACGGACGGACTGGGGAGCAACATTTGTCTTGACTTCGCCCTATCAACGGCGGGCTCATTCCTGGACACCACGGGACACCACGGGACACCACGGGACACCGCGGGCCACCGTGGGCTACCGCCGGAAGGACGGACGGGGGAGCAACATTTGTCTCGACTTCGCCCTAGGTTCTTTCTTCTCGAGCGCCCACTCAGCTTCGCCTCGCCCACACGCGCGACACGAACGAAACGAAACGATTTCCCGGTTGGGGGTTTCCGTTCCACTGCGATCTCACCCCCCAACCTCCGATATGTCGCCGCGCCGTTTGTTCGCGACGCGCCCAAATGGACGACGCCGACACCACGGCAAACCCAAAACAAACCTGCGCTCCCGACGAAGCCGGCACCGCGCCAAACCCACGGCAAACCCACCGCGCCCGAGGCAGCGTCTGCCCTGGTGGCCGAGGCGCCCTCCCAAAGACGCGGGGCCGCGCGTCGGAGCAAACGGCGGGGCGACATTTGTCAATGTATGGATGTGCGCAAGTGCGTACAACTATATATATATATGTGTAGAGAGAGTAGGTACATAACATGTCCGCAGGAATATATGCATGTATGTATGCATGTATGTTTGTATGCGCGTAAGTATATAGGTATAGCTGTAGGTCGGTCGGTAGATAGATAGGCAATGTGATTTGTAGGAATATATGTATATACGTGTGTATGTACGTATATACGTACATATGTGTGTATGATTGTGTAAGCAAATTTGTGTACAAATATGTATGAATGTATGTCTGGATGTATGGATATATGTATGTACGTAGTATGTATGTACGTATGTGTGCATGCATGTGTATATAGAAAGTGTGTGCTTGCGTACGCGTGTACAATACATACATACATATATATATATATATACATATATATATATATATATATGTATGTATGTATGTGTATATATATATATAGAGGAACGTGTGCGTTTACACACATATACATATACCCAAATATCCACCAATATATATATATATAATACACATGTACATTATGCATATCGATATAACTATACATCTGTATACGTATGGATACATAAAACAGGTGTGTATGTATGTATATATATACACTAGAACCATCGCGCGCGCTTCGCGCGCGCTATGGTTCTAGCCGGGATCACGGCAAGGCCCCGGCAGAAATATCATGGCAGGCCTTTGCTTATGTGTATATAAACGTGTATATATATATACTTATATATATATATATATATATATATCAAAGTGAGGGGGCCGAACGGTCATTCACTGTCCCGGGGTGCGTGGCTGAAGTGGGATTTCGCGGTGCGGATTCTCGTTGTTGTTGTTGTTGTTGTTTGTTGTTGTTTGTTGTTGTTGTCGTCGTCCCACCTGCAACCCGCCCCGCGACCCACCCGCGACCCACCCCGCGACCCACCCCGCGACCCACCCGCGACCCACCCGCGACCCACCCGCGACCCACCCCGCGACCCACGCCGCGACCCACCCGCGACCCACCCGCGACCCACCGCGACCCACCCGCGACCCACCCCGCGACCCACCCGCGACCCACCCGCGACCCACCCCGCCGCGAACCCCGCGACCCACCCGCGACCCACCCGCGACCCACCCGCGACCCACCCGCGACCCACCCGCGACCCGCCCGCAACCCACCCGCGACTCACCTTCGACCCAAACCGCGTTCAAGGTACAAACCACCATTTTCGGCGCCTGCGGCGGGCTTTTTTTGCATCCCTTCCAAGTGGAGAGCCCGCGACCCACCCCGCGACCAACTCGCGACCAACCCGCGACCCAAACCACGTTCAGGGTACGAACCGCATTTTTCGGCGCCTGCGGCGGGCATCTTTTGCATTCGTTTCAGGTGGAGAGCCCGAAGCCCACCCGCGACCACGATCAGGGTACATGCCATTTTTTTCTGCGCCTGCGGCGGGCATCGTTTGCATTCGTCCCCGGTGGAGAACCCGCGGTCCACCCGCGCCCCATTCCACGTTCAGTGTACAAACCAATTTGTTCGGCGCCTGCGGCGGGCTGCTTTTGCATTCCTTCCAGGTGGAGGTGGAGAGCCCGCGACCCACCCGCGACCCAAACCACGGTCACTGAACAAACCAATGCCGCACAAGCGCGGCGGCGGATTTTTGCATGCCGTCTGCGCCCGCTTCAAGCCCCGCGCATCCACACCAGCCCGTCCAGCAACCTTGCCCTGGCGAGTTGCCTTGATCAGAGGAGTCGGGGAGCATAAAGTGGGAAAAAAGATTGCGTTGCCGTTATCTCGGGAAAGTAGGGGAGGGAGGAGGAGTAAACAGGGGACGAGGAGGACGCGAAAGAAGAGAGGATGTAAGGAGAATGTGGAGAAAGAGGAGGAGGAGGAGCAGCAGGAGGACGAGGAGGGGGAGGGGGGGGATGAGGAGGGCGAGGAGGGGGAGGAGGGGGGGGATGATGATGATGGACGACAATGGGAGGACGATGATGGAGGCCGATGAGGGGGTGGACGACAGTGGGAGGACGATGATTGAAGGACGAGGGGGGGAGAGGGAGGACGAGGAAGAAGAGGAGGACGAGGTGGAGGAGGAGGATGTCGATGACGACGAGGACGAGGACGAGGAAGAGGAGGAGGAGGAGGAGGAGGAGGAGGAGGAGGAGGACGACGAGGAGGACGAGGAGGAGAGCGCCATCGACAGGGAAGGTGGGGCCACGAGGTCCGCCGGCTCGACGACGTTCGCGTCGCCCGCGCCCGCCCCCTCACTCTTATCCGCAATTGCGGGGTGCTATATATATATATATATATATACATACATGTGCCCGTCCTTCTCCTCCTCCTCCTCCTTCTCCTCCTCCTTCTTCTCTTCTTCCTCCTCCTTCGTCCTCTTCCTCCTCCCCTTCCTCGCCTGTCTCTTTCCTCCGCTTCCTTAGTTCCCTTCCTTCTCCTCCACCACCTCCTCCTCCTTCCTCATTTGCTTCTGCTCCTCCTACACGTTCTTCTCCTCCTCCTCTTCCCTCTCCTCCTTTTCCTCTCCCTCCTCCTCCCCCTCCTCAATATCATCTGCCCTTCCTCCTCCCCCCCCCCTTCCCTGGTCCGGGCGCCCCCCGACCCGAGCGCCCTCCCCGGTCCGGATACCCCTGGGGCCCGTAGGCCCCACGACCCTTGAAGTCGGCCCCAGGAGTCCTCCGAACCCTTCGGTCCCTGGACGCTCCTGACCTCTAGGGTTGAAGAGCCTCAATCGCGACCCCGCGACCCATCGGCTTCCGAGACTCTTCGGCCCCACGACCCGCGGAGCGACGAGGAAGGACACACGGCAGAAGCAAGGGGGGGAGAGGGAGAAGTCGAGGGGAAGCAGGAGGAGGCGGAGGGAGAAGAGGGAGAGGAACAGGAGGGGGATCAGAGGAAGAGCGGCCAGAGGAAGAGCAGCCAAAGGAGGAGGATCAGAGGAAGGAGGAGGAGGGGGAGGGGCCGCCCAGGAGGGATCAGGCGCTCGAGCAAGGGGATGGGACTTATGTTCCCGGGTGTCTTCCTGGGAACATCTTGCGCGATAGAAGGAGGAGGAGTCCAAGAAAGAAGAGGAGGGAGACGAGAAGGTGGATAATATCGGCGAGGTGGAGAAACGGAGGCACGCGGAATTACATTCCCGGGAAGCTTCCCGAGAACATATTCGGTGACAGCACGAGGAGGAGGAGCCCGAGAAGGAGGAGGAGGACAGGAAGGAGGAGGTGGGCTAGAGCAGGAGGAGGAATCTCGAGAAGGAGGAGGAGGAGGACAAGGAGGAGGAGGAGGAGGAGGAGGAGGGGGAGGAGCAGGAGGATGAGAAGGACGAGGAGGACAGACACGCAGGACAAGGTGAGCGGCAGGAAGAGGAGGGGGAGCAGGACAAGCAGGACATAAGGAGTAGGCGGAAGGGAAGGAGGGTGAGGAGGAGAAGAAGGGGAGCGGGAGGAAGGGAGGTTCAGGGGGAGCAGGAGGAGATAGAAGAAGGACAGGGGGAGGTGCAGGAGTAGCATGTTGAGCAGTCGCAGCAGGAGGAGGACATGGGAAGAAAGTCGAAGAGGCAGGGTGGCGAAGAACAAAAGAAACACTCGAACGCAAGCAAAGAAATGATGTTCCCGACAGGCGTTCCGGGAGAGAGCTCCACAAGCAGGTGGGTGAGAAGGTGGAGAAGGGGAGCGGGAGGAGGGGGAAGGGGGAGTTGCGGGAGTAGCATGAAGAGCAGCCGCAGCAGGCGGAGGATCAGGGAATGACGATGGAGCAGGGCGGCGAAAAACAAAAAAAACACTCGAGGAATGCTGGTCCGGGCAATTCCGGGAATATGTTTATATTTCCTGAGACCGGGAGAGAGCTGGACAACCGGAAGAAATGAGGAGCAGGAAGGTGATAAGGCGGACGAGAAGCTGGGTGAGACGCAGTTGTTTCAAACTTCTTGGGGTATGCTTTGGAGTATCTCGGGGCCTTTTTTGGCCTCTTGGGCGGCCTGGGCATGTGGAGGGCCTCTGTGAGCTTTTTTTGTTCGCCTCTCGGGGTCCGTGTCGGAACTCCTTTGGACCGTTTTCGGTGCCTCTTGTGCCGTCTTGGGGCCCTCTTGGGCCGTCGTGGGGGCCGCTTGGAGCTCTCTGGGGCCGTCTTGGTGCGGTGTAGGAGGCGTCGTGGGCCGTCTTGGAGCGCTCTGGGGCTGGTTTTGGGCCTCCGTCCGAAGGTCAACAAGATGTCCGGGGTCGCCGCTGCCGCCTCGGAGGCCCTGGAACGACCCTGTAAAAACACAGGGAAAGTGAGCCCCGGAGCTCCTACGGGGGGCGCAGGTCCACTCCTGGGGGCATCCCTCGGAGGCCCTGGAACGCCGAAACCGTGAAAAACACAGGGAAAGTGAGCCCCGGAGCCCCTATGGAGGGCGCAGGCACACTCCTGGCGGCCTCGCTCCTGTTTCGCTGGCACACACACACACATATATATATATATATATATATATATATATATATAATGTACCATACTCCTATACCATATGTGAGTACATCTAAATAAACAAATACGAAGCACTCAGCAGTTGCGGATCAGAGGCGCCTAATCATTACAACTTCCACAACACTGGGTCGCCGCAGCCGCCGATTTTTCGTTAAAGCAATGTGGGTGGGTCGCGGGTGGGTCGCGGGTGGGTCGCAGGATGGTCGCGGGTGGGTCGTGGGAGGGTCGCGGGCCGGGTCGCGGGTGTGTCGCGGGTGTGTCGCGGGCGGGTCGTGGGTCGCGGGTGGGTCGCGGGTGGGTCGCGGGCCGGGTCGCGGATGGATCGCGGGTGGGTCGCGAGTGGGGTCGCGGGGGGACGACGACAACAAACAACAAACGACCAAAGACTAACAACAAAAACAACAACAGCAGCAACAACAACAACAATCCGCACCGCAGAACCTCACTTCAGCCACGCGCCCACGGACAGTGAATGACCGTTCGGCCCCTCACTCTGATATTCATATTTTCCGAGAGAGAGAAAGAAAGAAAGAAAGAAAGAAAGAGAGAGGGAGAGAGAGAGAGAGATAGAGAGAGATAGAGAACAACAAAAATAAAGAGAAATGAAGAGATAGAGAGAGAGAGAGAGAGAGTGCCAGAGCCGGAGCCAGGAAGATAGGGATACATAGAAAACAAGACAGAAAGAGAGAGAGAGAGAGCGGATATCGACAGAGAGAGAGAGAGAGAGCGGATATGAAGAGAGAGAGAGAGAGAGGGAGAGAGAAAGAGAAAAGGAGAGAGACAGAGGGAGGGAGAGAGAGAGAGAGAGAGAGAAAAAAAAAAAAGAGAACGAGAGAGAGGGAAACGACGAGAGAGAGAGAGAGATAGAGAAAGAGAGACTGAGAAAAAGAAGGAGAGAGGGAAGGAGAAAGGAGACAGGGAGGGAGGGAGAAAAAGAGAGAGATTATCATATCGGGTTGTCGTCAAACAGTTGCTGCGGCTGAAATTCGGCGTGTTCGGCTTCCGGGGGCCTTTTCCCAGCCCTGGGACCGCTCAGAAAAACAACGACTCAGGAGGAAAAGCTGGCCCTGGGGAAAGAGTCGAACTCCCCGCGGGCGGGCCGAACAAAAATAAGACGTCGGAGAATGGAGGGATATAGAGAGAGGCCCCTCTCCCCACGGCGTGTCCAATCTACTCGCCGCGTGGCGATGTTCTCCACCTGTGGGGGAACGCCAGCTGGGCAGCTGGCCCCTTGCCAGGCTGCGGTTAAGATGGGCGTGTCCCTCTACAGGAGGAACATCCAAATATAGTCAAACATGATATGGGGACGATTTATTGAACATTTTTTGACTCTTTTGGGTAATTGTTGAATGTGTTTAATTTTTCGCCCCAAATCCACCTGTGGGGGGACACGCCCGACCTAAGGCTACGGTGGGGGCATTGGATGAGGAACCCTTGGATAAGGAATCCATGGCCTGGAACCAGTAGAACCTCGGTCGTGGATTGCCCATAGGATGTTACCGCCACCCTCATCAGAGAAGGAATCCTCCAGGGTCTGAAGCCCTCTGGGCACATTCCTCGACCAACGCCCCCACCGTAACTCCTGGGCCTGGGAGCGGCATCGGACCCGGCTGCCAGGAGCGCCCAAAATCGAATCGATAAATCGGATCGGCGATCGACAAGAATCGGATCGGCAGAAATCGGCAGCCGAAACGGAAAAGGTCGGACCGGCAGAAATCGGCAGGCTGGTACGCGTCCAGTGAGAAATCGGACCCAAACCGGAATCCCAAGTCGAATCGAATCGGAATCGGAATCCATCGACATCGAATCGAATCGAATCGAATCGGGGACATCGACATGAGCCCTGGGCTTCTGACACCGCGCGGGTCGCCCAACCTCGAACGATGCCGGCCGACCACGCAGATCGCGCTCTATAGATTGGCCGGGCTCTGGCCGCCAGCGGCCTTCCGCCGCGTTTGTTTTCCGGGAGTGGCGGGGAAGGGAAGGGCAGGGAGGAGGCGAGCCACCGCATCTCTCCAAGCTTGCCCTCTCCCGCGCAATGTTTTGGAGAGGGGGGGAGAGGAAAAGGCAAAGACACGCGATCTATCTCATTGCTCCAGCTTCAAGCTGCCGACCGTATGCAGCCTCCCCCAGTCTGCCAGGCCCGATACAAAAACCCTGGACTCGGGCAGAGAAACAACCTCATGTGTCACGGGATCGATGCAGGAATGGCGGCATCACGAGGGAAGAGGATGAGAAGAGGAATAATAGAAAAATGGGAAGAGAGCAAGAGGAGGAGGAGGAGGAGGAGGAGGAGGAGGAGGGCGAGGAGGAGAAAGAGGAAAAGGCGGAGCAGGAAGAGGAGGCGGAGGAGGAGGGCGATGGAGGAGGAGGGCGATGGCTGAGGAGGAGGAGGAGGAGGAAAACTCCAGTGGCCTTCACGCCTTGAACGCCACCGCTCGGGGGTCGCCGCCGCGCCGCCAGTGAAGCTCACGGAGGGCAAGCATTTGTTTGATCACTGAAGGCCGACGTTGTGACACCTTTCCCGAAGGCCAGCGTGTTCGAAGGCGAAGATGCTCGAAGGCAACACTGCTTGCGTTCAGGGAGCTCACTGCAGACAATCTCCCCAACCCTCCGGGCGCAGGTGGCTTGGCGTGTGTCCTCTTCTTTTCCCCTCCTCCCCTTCAGGGAGGGGTTTACCCCTCCTCCTGCCCCCTCCCCCTGGACCTGGACCTGGACTGGGCGCTTCGCGACCGATTGGATCGTCCAAGATGGCACAAGATGGCTCCAAGAGCCCAAGATGGCCTCCACGAAGGCTCAATATAGCTCAAGATAGCCTCCAACGTGATCCAAGAGGCTCTAAGACCGCCCCAAAACGGCTCGAAGTGGCCGCGTAGCACCCCCAAGAGAGCACGCAAGAGGCCAAACATCCTTCCAACACCCAAGACAAATCCATGTGTTGTGTGTTTCCAGCTTGTTCGCTGTAGTGGATCCAAGATGACCCAAGAAGATCCCAAGAGATGCTTCAGAGGGCCCCTGGGCGGCCCCGAGAGCGACCAAAAGCGCCCCAAGTACGCCCCAAGAGGGCTCCAAGAGGTGACGTTTGGGGCTCCAGAGGGGCCGTGCTGATTAAGGCTCCCACCTTCTTTGAGCGGCCTCCTTTTTGATTTGATCCTGACCCCAGGAGGCCCCCAAGAGGCCCCTGAGCGGCCCCCAAGACACTTTAAGAGGCCTCCCAGGACCCCCCCGAGAGACATCCCAAGAGACTCTGAGAGGCATCCAAAGGGCATCTGGGCTTCTGCTCGCCCTCCTCCTCCTTTTCATCAGCCTATTCCCTCACCTTCTCCCTCCTCCTCCCCCTCCATGTCCTCCATGTCCTCCATGTCCTCCTCCTCCTCCTCCTCCTCCTCCTCCCACTCTTTGAAAGAGAACAGCTGCTCCCCTCTCTTGCTCCTGCACTCCCCTGATCACCTCACCTCTCCTGCGCACCGTTTCTGGAGGGGCTGGTGGGGCTAGGCGAAGAGTCAACAACCTGTTTGCCTCCAGTGGGAGAAACACGTTGCCTTCAGTGAAACATTGTTGCCTTCGGAGAGCTCATCACCTACAACCCTTGAACGCTAACGTCGGGGGGCCGCCACCGTGCGCCCACACCGGGCCTCACGTGCGCCGATCCCGGGCCTCACGCGGGCCTGGTCGGGACCTGGCGCTGCGCGCGCCAGAGCGGGGCGCCCTCCACTGAAGGAACAGAACACGACCTGACCAGACCATATCCAGAAGAAGACAGCTCTGGTCAAAGAGCGGGATCGACCTCGTTTCCAGTTTTACAACGGGCGCGCTGCGTGACACCCATCTGTGAGGACGACGAACCTGGAGCCTGCACTGCCCGACTAGCGCGCGGACATGGCATGACCAAACACGTTCTCGGAGGTCCGCGTGGATTCCGTAGATCGGAGCGCCGGACCCCCCTCCCCGGCGCGCAGGAAGCGCGCCAGGGGGCCGCGAGGGAGACGCCGCCGGGGCCCTCCCCACGCAGGTCCGAAAGTGTCTGTTTATGCAGTTTTCACTCGGCGGCGCGCCCTGGGGGGAAGTGAACGGGGGCGGCCCTGCCCAGAAGGCGGCGGGGCTTCTCAGACTCCCTCCAGCCTTCTGAAGAGCAGGGAGCAGTCTCTGTCCTCGGAGAGCTCTCAGAGCACGACCTCTCGGAAGGCCCGAGGCCTCCCGAGCCTTCTGAGCAGGCCCGCCCCCTCTGCATTCCCACCTGGACCTGCCCCCCTCTCAACATCCCCCCCTGTAGACGAGCGTGTTCCACCACGTCCTGGATCCGCCGCGGGGGATCTACGATAAAAAATCACATCAGAGCAGGCACGTCTTCTTCGGGAGCTGGCGAGTAGGCACTTTTTGCGAGGAGTGGAACGCGCTTAGCGACCCTGGGCTCGCCGACGATGCGTCTCCTCCTTCTCCTCCTCCCCCTCCTCCTCCTCCTCCTCCTCCAACTCCTCCTCCTCCGCCTCCTCCTCCTCCTCCTCCTCCTCCTCCTCCTCTTCATACTCCTCCTCCTCCTCCTCCTCCTCCGCCTGGGCGCGCCGCCCAATTTGGTTTCTGGATCATAACTCGGGTGTCCGGCGGCCGCTCGGGACGATCCGGGCACCCCCGGAACGCCCTCGGCGAGGCGCAGCTGCTGGCAAGCATCCCGAGGCTGGACAATCGCCGAGAACCGGCGAAAAGGTTCGAAAACCTCGAACCTCGCACACCCCTCGCTCCCCGCGTGCTCCGCGGCCCACCTCCGCCACCGCGTCCGTCACCCTCGGGACCTCGTGCTCGAGGTGGAGCAGGCGCTTGTCCACTGACGGGGGGCGCCCGGGGGCGCCCAGGGGCGCGATCGGGCGCCGCGCCTCCCTCGAGCGCGCGCCTCAGGAGGCGGAGGTGCGCGGCCGCCCACTGCGAGGGTAGGCGAGTAGCGCGCGCTGGAGGAGGAGGAGGGAGGAGGAGGAGGGAGGAGGAGGAGGAGGAGGAGGAGGAGGAGGAGGAGGAGGAGGAGGAGGAGGAGGAGGAGGAGGAGGAGGGCGAGGAGGAGGAGGATGGGGAGGGAGAGGAGGAGGAGGTGGAAGAGGAGGAGGAAGAGGAGGACGAGGAGGAGGAGGAGGAGGAGGAGGAGGAGCACAGGAGGAGGAGGAGGAGGAGAGGAGGAGGAGGAGGAGAAGGAGGAGGAGGAGGAGCAGGAGGAGGAGGAGGGAGGAGGAGGAGGAGGCGGAGGAGGAGGAGGAGGAGGAGGAGGAGGAGGAGGAGGAGCGCGCGCTGGAAGGTGGTGGAAGAGGAGGTGGTGGAGGAGGAGGAGGAGGAGGAGGAGGAGGAGGAGGAGGAGGGAGGCGAGGAGGAGGAGGACGAGGAGGAGGAGGAGGAGGGGGAGGAAGAGGAAGTGGTGGAGGAGGAGGAGGAGGAGGAGGAGGAGGAGGAGGAGGAGGAGGAGGAGGGGGAGCAGGATACGGTACGACGCTGGCTGGCGGGCGCCGCGCTCCGAGGTCAAGCCACGGGCGCCAGGCGTGCACAGGCGAAGAGGCAGCCTGAGCATCTGCCCGAGGTGCCAAGAAAGACGGTGGCCCCCACCCGAGAGACAGGATCTCGGAGCCCCGCAGGCACCAAAAAGAGAGGGCAGGGAAGCACAGGAGAATGAAGGTCCGCGGGGAGCACACCAGCAAGGGTGCTCCGCTCTCGCGAACCTAGTCCCCGTCCTCGAATCGATATTGAGAAGATCGGCTCGCTAGGAGCCTGGCCCAAAACGTTGCTGGGTCGGCAACATGAAGGGGACGATGGGCAGGGATCCTACGAGAATCCTGTCTGCCCTCGTCCGCTGGGTGAAACCCCGCCAGAAAATGCTTCCCGTTCCGAAGGGCACGTTCCGAAAGTCTAGATGTAGGGGCAATAGACGGGCATCCTACCAACAAATGTCCTGCCGCGCCAGTGGAAAAAATCCACTGGAAACGCAGAAGCACACGTGCCCCGAAGAGACCCAAAGACGATGCCCCCTGGCCGCGGACGCAGGAACGGGGCCCGTTTCAGGCATGGCACGGTCAGGCGCGACGGTGGCAGCCAAAGTAGGTCTGTCCCTGCGATGGCCGCCAACCCTTCTACGCTTATCAGGGCGAAACGCGGGGCCTTCATGGTCTGGGATCCCAAGATTTCTGATCGCGAGGTCTCTGTCCTTTGAGGCATCATCCTTTGCAGCAACTATCGGTTCGAAGCTGACCCGAGAACGAACGTGGCGCTCTGGCCCGCTGCTCGGGGAGAGGCTGCGTTGGCGCCGCGCGCCACGGGAAAACGGCGCCATCTCCTCGGGTCTGAGAGGCCCTTCCCGAGAGTCACGCGATCGAGCGTAGGCGGAGGAGGGGGAAGGGTGGTCACCGCCGGCAGCAACGCCAGGGCTGCGATCTTCGCGACCCAGCCTGCCTTCGCTGCCCCGGCCGCGCGCGGCGCCACCAGGGGCGCAGGGGGCGGGGGCAGACGCGGCCAAGGTCGCAGCCTTAGCAGCGCGAGTCCGAGCAGGGCAGGCACCACGAGAGAGAACACTGCGGGTGCTCTCAAGCTTCGAACCTTTCTTGCAAAACGGACATCGCCAAAACTTGGGCCCAACGGGCCGAAGGACGTCCTCGAATCGATATTGAGAAGATCGGCTCGCTAGGAGCCTGGCCCAAAACGTTGCTGGGCCGGCAACATGAAGGGGGCGATGGGCAGGGATCCTACGAGAATCCTGTCTGCCCTCGTCCGCTGGGTGAAACCCCGCCAGAAAATGCTTCCCGTTCCGAAGGGCACGTTCCGAAAGTCTAGATGTGGGGGCAATAGACGGGCATCCTACCAACAAATGTCCTGCCGTGCCAGTGGAAAAAAATCTACAGGAAACGCAGAAGCACCACGTGCCCCGAAGAGACCCAAAGACGATGCCCCCTGGCCGCGGACGCAGGAACGGGGCCCGTTTCAGGCATGGCACGGTCAGGCGCGACGGTGGCAGCCAAAGTAGGTCTGCCCCTGCGATGGCCGCCAACCCTTCTACGCTTATCAGGGCGAAACGCGGGGCCTCCACGGTCCGGGATCCCAAGATTTCTGATCGCGAGGTCTCTGTCCATTGAGGCATCATCCTTTGCAGCAACTATCGGTTCGAAGCTGACCCGAGAACGAACGTGGCGCTCTGGTCCGCTGCTCTGGGAGAGGCTGCGTTGGCGCCGCGCGCCACGGGAAAACGGCGCCATCTCCTCGGGTCTGAGAGGCCCTTCCCGAGAGTCACGCGATCGAGCGTAGGCAGAGGAGGGGGAAGGGTGGTCACCGCCGGCAGCAACGCCAGGGCTGCGACCTTCGCGACCCAGCCTGCCTCCGCTGCCCCGGCCGCGCGCGGCGCCACCAGGGGCGCAGGGGGCGGGGGCAGACGCGGCCAAGGTCGCAGCCTTAGCAGCGCGAGTCCGAGCAGGGCAGGCACCACGAGAGAGAACACTGCGGGTGCTCTCAAACTTCGAACCTTTCTTGCAAAACGGACATCGCCAAAACTTGGGCCCAACGGGCCGAAGGACGTGTCTGAGCTCCGCGGGAACGTCGCGGGAAACAGGAGCAGGGGCCCTGCGGGGCCTGGGCGGCGCCCGACCTCGAGGCCGAGCGTCAAACCGTTTCCCGCCCAGAAAGGCGGTGACAGCCTGTGCATTCCAACGAAGGAGCAACTTATACTGCCTTAGGCCAACGCTCATTGCTTGTCGCAATATCTTGGGAGCTGGGTGGGTGCCCCGCCCAAGGCACGCAGCGAGGTCAGCCCAGCGGTTGCCGACAGCATGGGCATGGGTCCCACGCTGATGGCCCCTGACGAGGACCACGCTGATACCAACTTCTAACCCCCCAAGGTCTTGAACCTTGCTCCAGATGGCCTCCCAAATATCAACATTCAGAGGCCGAGGGGAACAACGCCATTGAGGGCCGCCATTAAGGCCGTCCAAGAGGCGTTCGAAGTCCGCATGGGCCACGCCGGGGGGGGGGGGGGGCGCCTGGCGAACCTGGAGGAACGCGAAAAGCTCGGCCCGAGGAGATGACTGAACTGGGCCTTGCAGAGGCCTCGACACCAGGATGTCAATGCCCTGCAGCACTCCACGGAGCTTCGCGAAGCCCCATCCCGCACGGGCCGCATCAAGCCAATGCCACATCCGTGTGCACGCGCCGTCGGTGCAAACGTGATCAGAGATCCCCTGCGGATTACCATCGCATCGTGTACATTCCATCTATTGTCAGTTATCCTCGGGGGCGTGGCGGGGAAACAACTGTGACTTACCAGCCTACGAGACCGCAACAAGGAATCTCGAGACATGGCGGGGAGGGAAACCTCTCCGATCAAAGGTGCGCGTGAATTCGGTTCGTCTCCTGTCGAGGAAGGGGCGCTGCCATGCGATGTGGTAGATGTCACATTTTACCTGCCCACAGTGCGGGCAACATGATTCCGATCTGTATCCGCAGCGGTGAAGCCTGTCTGGCGTCCATAGGCCCCCAGCCACGATAGCACGAAGAAGGCCGCCTTCTTGAAAATATGGCTGCCATGCTCGGGGAGGCTCGCCGGGCACTCTTGCATCATCGTCGTCACCTGGTCTCACGTGCTGGTCATCTGTATCCTGGTCGCTGCTGGAGTCTGGATCAGGGTCAAGGATCTTGATGATCGGTTCCACCCAATAACCGATTGGTTCCTTGGGACAGAGGGGCTCCCCAGCCAGCTGCGGCCGTGATGCCCATCTCTCCCACGTCCTCCGAACTGCGGCCTCTCGGGCCAATGTCCGCGTCGTCGATGGGGCTTCGCGCCTAATATCCAAGACCGTGCCCAAGTCAGTGCGCCATGCGAACCTACTGGAGGCCGTCCATCTGAGGCCCCTGGGAGCAAGAACAGGGGCTCCCGCGGGGCCCGCCACGTGCTTCCAGGGGGACTTAGCATCAGACACTAATTTACGCGCCTGTGTGCACCACGCAGCCTGCAGCACGTGCGAAGGTACAGCGGCGTCTCGGCTCAAAAGGGCCCTCTGGAATAACGGTGCTGTCCACGCCACCACCTGCGGGTCTGTGAACTGCGAGCTTTGCAGGCAGGATGTCGCCCAACATGGCGTACCCGCTCCTGGCGCGTACCACGCCGTTCTCTGACAAGCACGCATTTGACCAACTAGCCTCGGGGGAGCGCCATGCAGCCCCAATCCATAGGTAACAGCAGCTGGCACAGCTTGCTTAGTGCATTCGGTAAGCAATGCCCCAGCCTTCCTAAGGGTACGAAATCGAGGTCGACGACGAACGATCCCCTTCCACCCTCTGTCTCAACTTAGTGCACCGAATGGGCCGGCTCGAAGCGACCCCAATCCCCAGGGCTTCCAGGGTCGTGGCGTATTGGTACCCTATGGGGGGCGATTGGATACCCATTGCCCGAGCTTGGGCTCGCAATATTCATCTTGTGGGCAGCTGGCGGTAAGCGCAATATCTTAAGTACGTGTATTAGCAACCGAAGGAGCAGAAGTGACCATTCACATATCTTAGAGAGGGCCCCTCGGGCTCCATTCGTGATGTCGTCCGCGTAGGTCCAGCGAGCGTGGGATGAACGCGTTGCGTCTCTCAAGCGAGTCAAAGGCCGTCAGCATTACGCACTGCAACGCAAACATGGCGAGCGGTCATCCTGGCAACACGTCTCGACGAGCGTAAACTGGCGCCGAGAAGCAGCTGCCCCATCCCAACCTCATTTCTCCCATGTACACCCTGTGCGCAAGCGACATTACCTGGCCTGGAAATTGGTGGACGGCCGCCGCGCGCAGCAGCGTGTCCCAAGGGACCTTGTCGAAACACTTCGCT